TTTCGGGGAGGTAGGAGAGCCGAATTCGCGTGACGAGCCTGTCCCTAGACCGTCGTTGATTCTGCCCCCAAGACTAGGCCCGTTCAGCACGCGGTCTATGCTGGCAGAACGGAAACTCACTAAAGTCGTCGCGGACGATGAAACCACGAATGCTGACTGCGTCAAATTTCCCCCATATGATGATGATGATGATGATGATGATGATAATAATGATAATAATAATAAGGAGGAGGAGGAGGAGTAGGAGGAGGAGGAGGCTTTGAGACCTGACTCTGCATTGTCTTTCAGGTATGCTGACTTGGGGTCCCCGACTGTGAGGTCCGTAGACAGGGGTCACGGGAGGAGCGGTGCCGCCTCGAGGGCAGGGTTGCGCCCAAGGCGCTAACAAAATCGTCTCCTTGGATGGGAAGTTCCGGTGATTCTGCGTTGTCGTAGAGACCGGCCTGGCACTGATCTGCGTTAGCAGAGACATCAGCGCTGGTCTCAATAGTCTGCTGATGAATGCATGATATTCAAAAGAACATATGCAACGCTTACTCACAAACGTTAGTAGCCAATTTTGAATTGTATCCCAATCGAGGATGTTGTTGTCGTTACAGCATTCGCTCCGCCACTTGCTACTGCAATTTGGCATGTTTGGAAACGCAAGCAAATAAGGGTGTTCGCCGAGACCACTGGTAACTAGTTTTTTCGTGCTTAAGTGTAAGCTAACGAAACAATGGTTTTCTGTTGTTCCTGGACTCACCGACCCGAAGAGGGCGTGGAAATGGCAAATTCCAAATCAGATTGTCACTGTGTTTAAAGGGCTATGTTGTCAGCGTACGTGTAACAGTCACGAGTGTAGAACGATGAGAAGGAGATGTGGCTGAAAGTTTCGATGAAATCACAACACAAGAGCTGTCTCTCTCTCTTTCAGACGGGTGTGATCATCTCTTTTTTCGACTGTATTGTCAGAAGTCTTTTTTCGTTTGAAAATGCTAGCTCAGTCTTGACAAGATTTTAAAGTCAGTGGTTTATGATGCATTTTTAACTTTAATTTCTCTAAGAACTCCGATGTTAAATATAAACGCCATCCTCAGTTAATTCAGCTCGGGGTTCTGGAAGCAACGATCGATATTAATAATTACGTTCTCATACATGAGGCCAGACCCTGTGGAGTTGCTGCCTTTCTCTCCTGCATTAATGGGCAGTCAGGATTTCTCTCGAAAAGTCTATAGCAACCTACCGGAGTCTCAATTAGGATAACACCAATCAAACTAATACGACCATTTCCACTTCCCAACGCGCACATTTCGAGTCAATCGGAGTCAAGCAGGTGGAGGGGTGCGCACAACAGAAAATTTACTTCTCAAGTTTGCAATCTATTGGACTACAAATCTGTCGAAGCACTCAATGACTGAGTCCAAGCCATTTGTTATTCTGAAAGTGTTTGCAACACAGTCTGCGTCTTGTTTGTTGATTAGGTTTAAAAAATACCACAAACCCTACCGTCAGCTGTAGCTACTTTAATAAACCTCCTTTAGCGTAATGAGCTAACACGCCATAATTTTGAAAAGGACCTCATAATCATAGAGCAGAAAGTACAGTCTAGAATGCAAATTGGAAGGGTAAAAGATGAGACGTTATAGGAAACAAACTCGCGACATATCCTCAGAAACTGGGAGGCCGGAGTTTCCTCAATAAACAAGAATTCGAATCTCTCGATTCCACTAGCACAAGCCTCCCCCACCCCTCCCAGAGACTTTATGGTTTGCCAAAAATCCCCAAACCCGACCTTCCTATGCGATCGATAACGAACATGTAGAATTCGCCTTATCGCTCAACTGCAAAGCGGTTAATCGAAACATGTCAGTCGATGTGGAGTAAGGCAGTGCAACAAAGTCCAGGGGACACTTTTGCATTCAAGGATTCAATAAGAAATGCCAAGAAAAAACGATGCTCTCCCTAGATGCCGCCTTCTATTTCTCCAGAGTCCCATTCAAAAAGGATTAACCTATTTGTGTGACGGGATTCCTAAGAAGGATTTCCCACTGAGTATACCAGTTGTGACCTTAGATGAACCAGTCCTTCACCGAGTACTGAGTGCTCAATTCAGATTCGATGGTCAATTGTGTTGCGAGTTTGACGGCTCAGCGATATGAATACCATTTGGACCCCTACTGACGGATTTCTTCATGGGAAACCAGGGAATGACCAAGTCTTTTTGATTATGGAAGCTCTTGGCTCTCGTGCCCGGTGTGTCGGCAACAGCAGATTAAAGGCTTAATGCGGACGCCGGTCGGGCAAGGTGTATGAAACTCACTCAGCGTTAACTTTCCCTCCGCAAAGAGAAGGACGGTGGTGTCCTTCCTATCTGTACATCCCTCTTAGTTGGACGCCCGTTGGAATCATTCGTATGGGCGAATTTTGCAAGAAACCATGAACAGGACAATAAACTAGGTTTTGCACATTTTTGTCAGAAACGGAACTTGGTCTAACCGAGCCAAGAGAATGTGTTTTATGAAAACGCTGGAGAAGGAACTCGTCTTCATTCAAAACAGTCTGCGAGAAAGACCTCTTCAGTGGGCATTTAGGCCTCCAGTTGATGCCGTAAAGCAGGTTTTATTGATCCAACAACTGGACTTCAATAAGCGACTTTGAGTCATCTACAGGGTGTTGGTGACGCATTCCTGCGTCAGCGGAAGCCTTTGACGACAGAGATAGGTGGCCATACAGCTAGCCAACTCAGTCTTGTGCTTGCGCAAAGTGTTCATTCAAGCCTACCAACAACAATGGCCCGAGCTGGACCCAACATTTTCCTTCCTGCACCCTGCTACGGAACATAAACATATCTCAATGACTGTCCTCACCTACTCTCTGGCCTAGGGATGGGGCCATATTTTCTCTCTTCTGTTTGGCGAGTTTAAAATATCCTCAACCCCGCCATTCTACCCATTACTCTTGCAATTGGTTGTTTATTGAGACTTTCCGGTGTCTTACCGGGTCGGACAGGGTTCTGCATGTGGTCTCGAATAAAAGGGCTGCTCACTTATAAATACACGCCTTCGGCGCCCACACACTAAAATGCTTGTTACTGACCATTATGAGAAGTGGCGGTTGCCATCACACCGGAGAAAAAAACGCTGACATGCCTGGGATGAGAGAAACGTGCAAACGGGGATGCAGACCTGCCGGAAGACTAACAAAAACCCACGATGCTCCACAAGCTGAATGAATGTCAGTGTACAACTTCACGTCGAAACGACTCACCAAGGACCAACCAAAGGTCCTTCAACGCGGATCCGGCTTTAACACATCCAACGCACACCTGGCCGCTTTCTCTCATTGATGAACCAAAAGGCTTCCTTCGGTGCCGGGGAATCTAGTTGCACCAAAAAACACACAATGCCATGGAAGATGCCAAGGGCGTTAAAAGGCTCATTTCTAAAGCGGTCCTCTGAAATCTCGAAAAACAGAGAGAAGAGGATATCTTAAATGATTCCTGGGAGGGCATACGGACAGCAGCTAGCCTCTCCTCGAACTACAAGTTATCCTGTGTTGAATTTCGGGAAAGGCACCTACTTCCGTGTCTTGAGCGTAACATTTACCCTAAACCAAACCTTAGGCGTAAATCGAATCTTAATCACAATTCTTACCTTAGCATACACGCTTTCCTCACAGACTGGTTCTAAGGCCCACAAGTTCATTTTGTAGAGAGCTATGCACCTGGTGTCCTTGTCGTGCAGAGGAAGAATATGCAATCACTGGGACAGGGTGTTTATTGGCTTGACGTTTCGGATTCCCACTCAAACCCATCATCACCTGCGACTGTTTTGATGACGGGTTCGAGTGAGAATACGGAAAATCAGGCAAGTAAAATTCTTGCTTCAGTGATCGCATCTTCTACTTCTTCTAAACCGTTCTCTGGAACTCAACTGATCGCTTCCATCGGCTACCTTTGTCGTTGTTGACCGGGACAAGATTAGTGTTGGCTAACCGACCTCCCCTGCCAGAAGTCATCATCCGCCATCAAGCCAAGGCCGCTGACGACAAAGGTATACATGAAACACCGACCATAGCGTTACAAACCAGAAGACCCAACGGCAACGGAGTTCTGTATGCAGGCCCTAGCGACGAATGGTAGCTTATTACAGTACACCATTCGCTTAGCGGACAAAACCAAACGACGCTGGCAGCTTTCCACATCCAACACTCGTCTTACAACACTCGTTCGGAAGAACCGAGTGTCTCCAGGGTGAAGAAACAAACAGTCCAACCAGTCCGGATCATTCTGATCATTCCGTGCATGAAGGGTTCCTCCTAGGCCATGGTTAGGTTCGTCGCGCTACTCACAATGGAAGTCCCTTACAAGATTTTCCAACAATACATCGGTGCAGGATGCTTCCTAAAAGAGCCTATCTTTAACCACCGGGAGTCAACCGTTGTCTACCAACTGAAGTACAGCTGTTAGGAGGGCAAGTGTGTTGAAAAAACCGACCGAAAACTCTGAACGAGGATGCCGAACTATACCCTGGGCGTCAATACAATGAGAATACTAGTTAGTATTTTCCCCTGTTCTCTCTGCGTAAGGCAGAACCGGTGCGGTTGTGGGAAATGATGACACCTTTCACTGCGTATGATAATAATGCATCAGGTAGATGCTCTAAAGACCCGATTTTTAGTGTTTACGAACAATGAGTACTGACTTATAAACGTCCTCCATCAACTCTTCTGGCGAAGAGGCCTGTAAGTCACCTAGATAAATGTCATCGCACAATTAGTAAACACCAACCTGTGGCTTTTCCCGCAGAGGCAATGAACACGCCTCCGGGCTCCGCCTCCGCTTGCATTTTCTTCACCGACAGCGCTCCACAGCTCTAGTAGTTCCACACTTTGTCTGTCCCTCGGTTGACTCTAGGCGCCCATCGTCCCCCACCGCATCAACCTCGGTCTCCTGGACACGATCGGATACAGCAGCTGAGGGCTGAACCACCCGATTGATTCTCTGATTTACCCGAAACTCAGCACTTTCCGTCTTGACGACATCGACAGGGAGTTGTGACGGTGGGAGGACGACGGGTCGAGAAGTTGAACTCGTCCGCCTCCCTTTTTTCACTCCCAGCAGCGTCGTGAGATGATTTGGGCGGAATTGACGGAGATCGTGAGCTGGCGCCAATGCCTGGAGAGTCGATGGCTGTGGTAAAGCCGTTGGGCACCGTCTTGGTGAAAGCAGCCTGTCCCTTGGCGGCCTGCTCTTGACGTAGGCGTTCCTTGGCCTCCAGAGCAAGCTGTCGGATCTGAGCCCCAAGGGCGTCCACTGGCTGGCCCTTGGTGGACAAACAGCGGAAGAAGAACTTGCCGTCACCGGTGAAACAGCAACGACACGCATCCACACGTAGTATGCAGCCAAATCTGCGGGACAATAAAAGTTCCGACACGCTTAGCTTTCCTTGCGGCCTGGTGTGTGTGTGGCAGTTTTAAGACATGGGCAGATTTGATACATTTTCTCCGGTATGAGAGCAATCCATTGATTGTGTTCTCCCAAGCCATATAAAATCACTTGCTACCACCTAAGTGATTTTCGCTAGTGTAAACCACGGGAGTCTTCACAACGTCCAAACCAAGAAAACCAAGGGGAAGATCTTCACTCTTCTGAATCGAAGAAACCATAAATCTTCGAATCTAGAGATACTGGGCTAACTTAATTAACCAGTGTCTTCTAACTAGATTCATTGTCACCTCGTTTCATATCAGCCTTAATTAATTCACTCACCGTCCCAATCGTACTTCCGCTTCACGCTGTAACACAAGTTGCATGGAGGCAATTATGATTCCTGCATAAAAAGCCTGGCAAAATATTCGAGGCGGCCATCTGTTTTTTTTGTGGCGTGCATTGCTGGACCGCCGATGGGCAAAAGTTCTTGTATTCGACTCACTTCTTTTCTGTGTGATAAGACATTTCTGACATTGTGCAAAATATGGAACTGCGTAGCATAGCTGAAGAGACAAAAAGACAATTCGTTATGGAAAAAGTGCAGTATGTAAGGCGCTGAATGCACTAACTTTTTCCACCACTTTAGTGTCGAAAATATTGTTTCTAAATGTCGTAAGGAAGTCAGGAAAAATGTATACTGTCCAGTAAGAGAAGCAATCTAATTCTCTACATCCGACGTGCAATTGAGCAAGGTGATTAAAATGCTTCCTTACGAGACGCTTTGTCCAGAAGAGATCCACTTTGCTACTGGAAAATAAGAGATAGTTTTTGCGGGCACCTAAGTCACAAATTCGGAAGTTTCGGATGGAACAAAGTGTCAGTTTTCGATCACGGTCACCATCATCAGTGTGTGTGTTTTTTAGGAGGAAACAGAGAACTTACAACATCGTGCCAAATCAGGTGTGCTGAGGAGTACTAGGACAAAACGAACAGACAAGAGCATTCCAGGATAGGAGAAAATGGCATATGTTGGAGTGGAAAAAGCATCTGAAGAAAAATTTGAATTAACTGCCAAAAAGTGGTTATCAGAATCTTCTGCGAAATTCTGTGTGACTGGTCCCGTTGGCTTTCTCCTGCGCTGAAGGTCGCATTTTGACTTGAAGCTTGTTGCCGGCAATTGAGCAGAAGATGCCGCAAAGCCATCGTGTATATGTGCTCTGACATCAGACAGCACTGTCATTCCAAGATGGTTCCTAACCCAGAATCGAGCTTTAATCTAATTTGGAGAAGGAGGAAGTTCATTTTAGATAATTAAAACCAGTTGGCGGTGGGAATATGGTCCTCTGTCTCACGCTAAATTCCGGGATGGAGTTCCTATTCCCGTCTTCTAGCTGCAAACCTAACCCTAACGCCCGCCCAAACCCTAATCCTGACACCCCTCCCAACCGTTATAGCAACTCTAAATCTAAATTTAACCGCCAACTTGGAATTTAGGGCATTGCCACTTGTAATAAGCGGATGTCCATATTTCCGCGCACAACCTTAAAACTTCCCGAGAGTGTTTACTAGTTCACTGAGCATTGGATCAGCCAATTGGAGTGCTCCACGTACACTCAGAACGTAATATTACGTCGACGGTTCACTAAGAGTTCGAAAGGCCAGACACAGACAGTCGTTTCACGGTCGTTGCCAATCACCAGTATGCCGCAGGCTTTATGAAGTGAGGCATAGAAGCATGTAAAATAAGCGCGTCACCCTCACTGTTGTGGTCAGGATCTTATTCGATCTCTTCTGCCCGCTTGCCAGCTTGCTACTGACAGACATAATGCGATCAAGCATGACCCTAACCACATCAGTAACGGCGACGTGCCTACCTAACATCGGAAGGTAGTGTTATGATGACTACAGAAAGTATTTCTTGTGCGGCTCCTCGCGTCAGGGAAACGCATCCTCTACGTCAGTTGAGGACTGAACACAATTTAATTATTTTGGTCAAAATCTCAATGAATTTCCGTAAAAGGATTTGCTGCCGACGCATCTCCTGCAGATACCGTGTGACATTAATCAGAAAAACTCTCCTCTTGCTACAACGATGGGTGCATTCGATGTTCCATAGAGGATACCGGGTGGTTGCCCAGATAAATCGCGAAAGGTGTCTGCAATTTGTTCAACCACCGTGCAATTGGTTCGACCGCTGAGTGCTTGTTAGCCGGTAAGGAGATGATACTGATTCAGCATTACGGAAATTCACGGGAATTGTTAGGCAGGTGACTGTCACGAAGGATTTTATTTCAGAATATGTGTATTGGCATTCGGGACCATTTTTTAACGTATTCTCCGTCACTTCCTTTCGGCAAAAAGGTCCAAGGTTGCAGAATGCCACTTTTATCTGACTCACACCACTTCGAATTGGAGAGTCGGGAAAATTTTTCCAATCATATCAGTAAAATTTTCCAAAATTGCTGCTAATACCACTAACTTCCGGTAGTTGGTGTGTTGTGTGCAGGGAAGGTTTCATGACAATTGTCGCGGTGCCGCTTTAAAGTGTGACCACAAGAAGTTGAGAACATGGACGGTGACTTGCGCGTGATAGAGTTTATAGTGAATGTAGACATGCGCCTCCTCTACCGCACTTTCTCGTCTTCCCTCACCTGGATCCCTTGTTAAGGCATAATTAATAAGACCAGAAGGCGCAAGTAGCTAGCATGGCCGAAGCCGCGCCTAGGCGTGCCGTCACACCTGGCTGGGAACCCACAGAGTAGGAGTGCCATAAAGGCCACTTTAAGAAGGAGCCATTGCAGCCTGACTCCTAGACCACCAACCTGCGGCTCCATACAAACACAACACTGGGACGACTGCGAGTCCCAAATAATCCCGTCAGTTGGCATCCTTCCATGCCACGGCTTCTAGCGCACCGTGATAGCTTCAAGTCCGTCATATTATTTAAAGTGAGTTTGGTCGATCATTGCATAATTTTAGTTGTTTGCCTTTTCAGTGAGCAGGGTTCTCCCGTCGGTGGGCGAACTGTAGACGGCTTTAAGGGCTGATAAGTAGTTCTTCCATTCGTCGCAGTCCGCGCACCCTTGGATCTCCTTAGCCTTGCGAGCTGCCCGTGCGACCTGCATCTCGTGCAGCCGCTGTTGCACAAGGCGGCGGCAACGATAGGATGCTGCTCTGTCGTCGTCTTCGTCGGTGAGGTAGCCGATGTAGGCTTTGTGCAGGCGGTCCTTCTCGGAGAGCAGGTTGTAGGTGGCAGTCTGCGCGACCGAGGACGGCCAGCGACTGGATTGTGTCCCAACAGTTCTCCACGGAGCCGTTCTGGTCAGCGGCAGCGGCGGCATTGGCCAAGATGGAGCTGTCTCAGCCTGGTTCTCAGCCCGCCAGTCCGCCACTTCAAACAAACACACACAAACACTACTGGGGATGGACTGAGTTGGGGTGTCAACCAGCAGACTTCTAGCCACGGCGATTGACGCGCCATGATTGTCTCAGTTTCGAATCGCCCATGCAGCAAGGAGCTGCATTGAGACCGAGTCGAGACGCACACATTTCACTCTCGTCTTATGGGACAAATCGGTGCATTTGGTGGGCGGTCTTGACGTCCGATGACATGTTGGTTAGGGAGGATGTGGTGGTGTGGTGAAGTCGGCGGCTGTCTACGACAGGACTTACTGGATGCGCATGTGGTCGAGTAAGCCACACAAACACACCCACACACACACACACACACACACACACACACACACAACACAACACACAGAGACACATGCACACCGAGTAATATAGGCTTTTCCTAAATAATTCTGCAAAAACGGATTTTGATGCTGTTTTTGAAAATGGTTGCAGAGTTTAAGTGTAAAATACTTATTCCATTAATAAGGTGACTTGAATTGGCTAAACGCCGTAATGTCCACAGAAAATTGTGGAGATGGTCACATTTATTCAGCCTTTTTCACATTTGGAGGTTTCCCATAAGGCCTCATTTTATCACCTAGACCCCTAATTTTTGTCCATTTTGCTTCACTATGTTATGAATTCCTAGTCGGAAATTGACACAAATTAGAGATCAAAATTTACTCTGTCTAAGTAGGTGTTCAAGTAATAAACCCATATGTGTCGGACAACGTCTTCAGCGACATTCGGCTCCGTTTTATGGCGTATTCCTCCTCGTATGCGCTAATACACTGACTCAAATTGTGACAATATCCATCGCAGCGGTAGTCCCCTTCCATGGTCACGTGATGTAGACGCGTGCTTTTTCGAAATTAGCCACTTTATTGTACAGTAGGTGGGCTAACTCATGAAATGCATTCTCGTTTCAAAATGATTAATTGAGCAGAGTTGTTAAATTGATCATCATGCAGCATCATTCTATAATGCTTCGGTTACAACAGGGTGTCGGCTTTCGAATGAACTGATTTCTGACTGCATGCGAACTATACTCTGCAAAAAATGACTATTTATGTAGCATGCAATTTTCTCACTGATTTTCAATGCCCTTGAAATTTAAATTATTCTTAATAGAGGACATGCATCAAAATATTCACATTTTTACTTATTCGTAGAAAATCACGTCTTCTTTCGATTTTATGCTCGAAAGAAGCGTGTAATTTGGTTTTAAAAATATTTTCTGATTCCCGAATAATTTTGAACCCGACCTGCTGTTACACTTGCATTCAGGGTTTCAATCATAAAGGCCATATAATTTTCGTGAACGGAATCGTGTATTTCTCTTCGGTATCAAGAAGTGACCATATGGGTTTCATAATATTAAGCAGTGGATTTGAGCAATATTGTTAACTTTAAAAGCCTTATTCGTAAATGCAGATACATGAGTTATATGAACGGCCATTGCACGGTATTGAAAAATCTCGCAATTAGAAACTTATTTGAAACCAAATAACATCCTTATTTTGAGTATAAAATTGGAAGAAGGCGTGATTTCCTACCGAATAAGTAAGAGAATGAATATTTTTATGCATATTCTCCATGAAATTCAATTGAATTTTTAAGGGCATCGAAAATCCTTGAGAAAATTGCATTCTACGTAAATAGTCATTTTTTGCAGACTAAAGTTCATGCATGCAGTCGGAAATAAGTTCATTTAAAAGCCGATACCATGAGGCAACTGGATCATTGTAGGATTACGGTGCATGATTATTAGTTTTACAACGCTACTTATTTAATCTTTTCGAAGCGAGAACGCATTTCGGTTGACATTTCATGAGTAAGCCCACTTACTGTATATCGACGAGACGGCCCAGCTCACCACTTCGTATTGGAATGAGGAATTTTCACAGTGCTCCAAAACACACGTCCGCGCTATCGGAATGCATAGAATTCGGATATAAATAAAAACCAATATTTACAGTACAAATATGCAACGTCAAGCGGAAAAGACGAAAAGTCATCCAACGTGAAATGCTTGACCAAGGATGATCGCTTGCGTCGTTATCTTTGCCCCATTTTTAAACCGCGAAAAGGAATGAAGTCATTAGACGAACGAGGTCGGCTCTTACATGGGACTTTTTGCCTACAGATTGTAACTAATTTTCCTGAAGGTATGTTGGAAGGAAATTTATTGGTGTTGTTGCGTGACATCGTCATTCCCTTGCACTTTAGCGCTCGATTGAGAGCCATTAAGGTAGTCGCACAGCAACTAGTACAATGGGCTTGTCGAGTAGCAAAATCAAGGGTTTTGCATTGTTATTGCGTCAATGAATAATTTTCAGGTTTCCATGCGTCGAAGAGCTTGTCGCAACAGGTAACGTGACGCTGCAAAATAAACTGTGTGACTAACGTAACAACGTATGTGGGAGCGTTTAACTTTAGCCAACGTCCCTTTTCAGTTCCCCCGCGGGCTTGGCTTGATTCTTTCAATTGATCAAAGTTCCCGCCTTTACTTGTCCGCTGTCCATCACTTACGATTGGTTATTCTCCATTGGCTGTCATGCGTTTACTTAATTGCTGATTTAATTGCTTCCGTGTCCCCGGATATCCAAGAAGCTAGTTTCGTTTGTCGGATGTCCGTGCGTCGTATAACTTATTTTGCCATGCTAACTCATACCCATGACCCGTGCGCGCCGTGTGTGTCACTAGTCAGTACACAGTCCAAACTACCTTGTTAAATTCAGTAGCCATGTAAGCGGCACTTAAATATTTTTCACGAAAGTTTCTTGCCCCTGCAATAGTCGTTCTGGTGGCCACGTCAGCTCTGGAACCACTTAACACGCAAAAATAATCAAAACAAGATGTTCTCACCGTCCGCATCTTCTTCACGACAATGGGTCCACATTCGTAATATAACACACATTATCGTGAATCGATGGTTAGGTGTATTTTGTTCCACACCGGTTAGCTACCTCGAACATTTGCGGACATTGGGAAAATTGGTAGATGGAAGAAGCCCTTTGTAGTAATGAACTTTATGGTTGAATTTGGAGTTCCAATAACTCGCACTCCCATGCAGTGGCCTATAGACGAGCAGGCACTGAGTTTAAAGCTGCATTAGTTAACATCGGGCTTTGAATCTCAGCCTCAAGTCGTGGAATCTTGATGTCGTAATGCTTTATTGGCGTCTTTCAGATTCAAGACCAAACTATGACCCATCATGTTGGAGAATGTTTTGCAGTTGGCAATCTTTGCGTTCCTCACCGAATTCTGCCAGATTCTGATGAAAAAAAAACGTTATAATGCGCAAATTATGTGACGAACAGCAGTTGAAAGCTCGCAGTCCAATACGAATCGCCTAATGCTGTGTCGAACTAAGGCCTACTTCGGAGCGCCAGTCGCAAAGAGACTGCCGCGAGGACCGAAGTGAGGGCTCGTAATCACCTAGTCAGATAAAAAACACAAACAAACACCGAGGTGAGGGTGCGTCACCCCCTAGTCACTTATGCGACGCGTCCAGATAAGCACACACACACACACGTGATAGTTCGAAGGACGCATCTAACGATGTCCGCCGTATGCCCCACGGCAGAGGTTTGAGCAGGGACGGTGACTTACGTAGGGGTTTATAGTGCCAGTAGACTTGCGCTGCATCTACCTACACTCTCTCCTCCTCCCCCGCCTGAGCCCGGTGTCAAGACAGAGTCAACAAGACCGGAGAGGGGGGAGGCCGCAGGTGGATGGCTCGGACGGATCCTCGCCTTGGCGCTCCACTCCGCACCCCCTGGTCCACACAGCAAATGACCAGCACTTTAACAACACAACAGAGATTTGGAGGCTGGCACGGCCGAAGCCGCACCTGGGCGTGCCGGCGTCGCCTGGCTCGGATCCCACACTGTGGTGAGAGTGCCATAAAGGCCACATTAAAAAGGAGCCATTGCAGCCTGACTCTCAAACCACCACCGGTCAAGGAGGAGGTACAAGTTACCCCGTCAATTGGCAACATTCCAAACCACGGCTTTTAGCCCACCGTGATAGCTTCAAGCACGTCAGATTGTTTATCGTGAGGAAAGTGCGCTTAGTCGTCGACCTCATCCTCCCTTCCCACTCCGACACGCCAGCCGCTGTCCAAGACGGTCAGCAGACTGAAGTGGGGAATGGGCGCGGTGGCTGACACGGTCGACTGACCATGCCTGCGCGCGCCACAGCACGACCTGGCCCCCCATACACACACAAACACCAGGATTTCACACAACGGGGGTTGAACGGCGTGACTCTCACTTGCGTGATTGGACCGTGGACCGGGCGTCAGTCAGTAACCATCCTATCCACGACACCTGACGTGTCGGGATAGTCTCAAACTCAAGTCACCCGTGCAGCCCAAGCCGCATGGGGACCGAGTCGAGATGCACTCTTCCCACTTGCGTGGGAGGTGGCAGTTGGTGCATGCGGTGGATGAGTGTTGATGTGTGTTGGTGATGGTGAAGGAGGGAAGGGGGTGTGTAGAGTGTGGCGTAGCCGGCGGTTGTCTACCGCAGGTCGTCGTGGATGCGCATGTGACCGAATAGGCCAATGCGGTGCCTGAAAGTGCGAGGACAGTGTGGGCAGTTGAGACGAGTTTGGTTGGTGTAGGTTGGTTCTCCAGGCACTGGTTCTCCAGTCTCTGTGCGATGGATTCGCAAGTGACGGATCTGGCCGATGTGTGAGGTGAATGTGCGTGGACAGTGTGGACATGTGATGTCGGCGGTGTCGATGTAGGCTGCAGAGGTAGCGGTGGTGGTGGTGGTGGTGGTGATGAGCGAGCAGGGCGATGGAGCGAAGGTGGGGCTGGGCATGGTGGATGTGTTCGTTGTGGTTGGTGTGTCGGAAATGTGGTCAATTCCGCTCTCGTGGATGCGCATGTGACCGAATAGTCCCATGAGATGCGTGAATGTGCGAGAGCAGTGTGGGCAGTAGAGGCGAGTGCGGTGGTTGTAGGTTGGTGCTCCAGGCACTCGCTCACCAGCCTCTGTGCGATGGATTCGCAAGTGACCAACCAGGCCGATGCGTGAGGTGAAAGTGCGATCGCAGTAAGGTGTAGTTCTGATTCCATTGCTGGAGTCTAGAGAGGGGGCGTGTTGGCTGTTGTTGTGTCGCGGTTGGTGATATGCGAGACGGCCGCCTGAGCGGCCGCCGTTGGGGCAGTGGAGGAGGAGGAGGATGGAAGTGGTGGTACAGAAGAATCGTCATATTTAGTTGGCGGCAGAATGGAGGAGGAAGAGGCGGGCCCGGGGACGAATATGTCCAACAAGGCCGATTCGAGCCCGGAATGTCCGTTGACATCGAGAACACGTTGGAAGCAGTTGTGCGGAGGCGTTGCGTACTGGACGAAGTTGTGATTTGCGGACTTCCCGTTTCGCTTTGGCGGCAGCGATGCGATTGGCTTCGTAGATAGCAGCGCCCATCTTCGCTGTTCTCCTCCATGTCGGACGATCGAGAGCGAGCTCTTCCCAGTTGGCCGTGTTGATTTGAAGGCGCTTCAGGGAGGACTTCAGGGTATCCTTGTAACGGCGAATTTGGCCTCCTTGACGACTAGAACCCGTCGCGACGTCTCCGTAGAAGAGTCGTTTGGGTAGTCGCTCGTCGTCCATGCGCACCAGGTGGCCGCTCCAGCGCAGCTGCATTTGTCTCAGCGTGAAGTAGATGTTGAGCATTCCCGTCCGTTCTTGCACATCAGTGTTGGGGATTCGATCCTGCCAGTTCAGCCTCAGGATGCGACAAAAACAACTGAGGTGGAAGTGGTTCAGTCGGCGTGCCTGTCTCGTGTACACCGTCCAAGTCTCCGCTCTGTACACCAGCGTCGGCAGGATGACGGTCGTGTACATCTTCAGCTTCGTGCTCAGTTGCAGACCGTGACGATTGCTTATTGTGCTTTGGAGGCGTCCGAAGGCTTGACTGGATTTCGAGATCCTGTTTGCGACTTCGTCATCGATCTTGGTGTTGCGGGAGAGGGTACTGCCCAGATACGGGAAGTTCTCCACCACTTGCACTTGGGTCCCGTTCACGATGATTTGTGGCGGCAGCGCGTTGGGGGGTGTGGCTGAGTTGGGTGGCGGTCGATGCATCACCACCGTCTTCTGCGTGTTGATGAACAGACCGATGTTCTCGCAGGCGGCGGAGAACAGGTCCATGCTCCTTTGCATCTACTCTTCCGAGATGGTGTTCTGGGCGCAGTCGTCGGCGAAGAGGAGTTCGTGCACGGTGGTTGTGGATACGCGCAATTGGAAGTGCATCCGCCGTTGATTCAGCAGGTGACCGTCCCTCCTGTAGGCGATGCGGATCCCGGGGCGTTCGTCGTAGTAGGCGTCCATCAGCATGGCAGAGAACATAAGACTGAAGAGGGTAGGCGCCAGCTCGCATCCCTGTTTCACTCCGTTGGTCACTGCGACTGCCTCTGAGACAGCTCCGTTGCCCGTTACACGCGCCATCATACCGTCGTGCAGCTGACGCACCATTTGACGCCACATCTCCTGGAAAAGCGCAGTCTAGTGAAAGTTCAGTTGGGGACCTCCGTGCTTGTAGACCTCAGCAGGGATTGCGTCCGATCCGGGTGCTTTCCCGCTGGAGAGCAGCTGCACGGCCCTGTTGATTTCCTGGAGAGATGGCGGAACGTCGGGGTCCGCGTTGACCTCCACTTGCGGCAAACGCTCGATGGCGGCGTCAGAGATGGCGGAGGGACAGTTGAGGACGCCTCGGAAATGCTCGGCCCATCGCTGTAGGATTTGCGTATTCTCTGTCAGGAGTGTGTTGCCGTCAGCGCTGAGGAGAGGAGCAGTGCCCTTCGTCGGCGGACCGTAGACAGCCTTGATCGCAGAGAAGGAGTTATTCCATTCGTTGCGGTCCGCGTTGCCTTGGATCTGCTCAGCTTTGCGAGCAGTCCAGGCGTAATGCATCTCGCACAGTCGTTGTTGTAGGTGGCGGCGACTGCGGTAGAAGGCAGCTTTGTTGTCCTCAGTGGGGTGATCTACGTATGCTTTGTGCAGGCGGTTCTTCTCAGCCAGCAGTTTTCTGATGGCGACATCCTTGTCTTCAAACCAGTCCTGGTGTTGACGGGTAGTGCGACCGAGGACGACGAGCGCCGTCGACTGGACCGTGTCTCGCAGTTGACACCAGCGGTTCTCCACGGAGGCGTTCTCGGCAGCAGCGGCGGCGGCAGCGATTGGAAGGTTGTCTAGCCGTTGAGCTAACTCATTGCTGAAATGAAGATGATTAGCGGGTAAAGACAGCAAGGCAACATTCAGCTTACCCGGGGGGGAGGTCGCTTACCTTGAGGTCTCCTGCGAGGCTGTAGACGAATACGCATCTTCGAGATGACGAGGCGATGGTCGGTCCACCCATCAGCACCCGCGATCGCCTTTGTCACCAGCACGTCCCGCTGGTCACGCCTTCGGACGAGGACATAGTCCAGCAGATGCATTTGACGCGACCGAGGATGGCTCCAGGTGGCCTTCTCTAGTTCCGGCGAACAGAAGATGGTGTTCGTCAGGATGAGGCGGTGTTCTGCGCAGGTGCGTAGCAGCAGTAGACCATTGTGGTTGGAGCCGCGGAGACCATGGGCAACCAGCACTCCTATCCAGACGCGGTCGTTGAAGTCACCAAGGACAATCAACTTGTCCGCCTTCGACATAGTGGCCAGGAGTGCGTGCAGGTCCTCGTAGAATTGGTCTCTTGCGGCGGCGTCTGGGTTGCTCGTCGTTGAAGCGTATGCCCTGATGATGGTGGCTAATTTACCCTTACCCCGGAGAGGCAGACGAAGACTCATCATGCGATCTCTGATGCCCTGCGGCAAACAGGGCAGTCGTCCCACGATGTCGTTCCGAATGGCGAGGGCGATACCCGCTTCTCGGCATAAGTATAGGCAGAGGAAGAGGAAGAAGAGTTAGGATGATGAGAATGAGTTTGGTTGTTGATGTTGTTATTGGTATTGTCGTTGTTTCGATTTTGATTGTTTCGACCATGTTTAGACGTATGCGGCCCTGGCTAGCCTGGAGACGGCGTGGTGCCCAGCAATGTTTAGGGCATCTTTTCTAGGCCCTTCCCCTCGTGGGGGCTGGCAGTTCCACCGCTGAATAGGGCTGCCATGAGCCGATTGGCTCGGCCGAAATCCAATATGGGACCACGACTTTATGTTTGTAGTGGAGAGCCACTCGAATTCGCCGTAAGCTGTGGCCTCCGACGGCGTAGGTGGGCGCGTCAAGGCGAGGTCGAGTCACCAGCAGTCCAGCGGAGTGCAGAGACGGACCAGGCCACGACGGTGCCGACGCAAGGTTCTATCCGACCTTCCATCCAGCGGAATCCGCAAACCCTTCGCACACGGCACAGCGCACAGGGCCCCCACACCTGGTTTAGCCCGCCGGTCGAGACGGTTGCCCGGGCTGTGGCCGCTGAGCAGAACCTAGCTACGTGGAGCCACAGGTGAGAGTTGGGTGCCAGCAAGGCGTAGTCTCACCTGCAAGCAAGTGAGCGACCACTACGACCATCACATGAACCCACCGCTGGACACCCCTACACCCCCCCCCACACACACGACAGTTCGTCCGTCGGTTTCGATGATGTCCACCGTGTGCCCCACACCAGGTGGGAGCAGGGACGGTGACTTGCGCAGGGGTTTATTGTGCCAGTAGTCTTTGGCTGCATCTACCTACACTCTCTCCTCCTCCCACGCCTGGGCCCGGTGTCAAGACAGAGTCAAGGAAACCGGAGACGAGGGAGGCCGCAAGCTGATTTTTTGGACGGATCTACTCTCACACGCACACGCACAGACACACGACTTTTCAACCGTTTCATCCGACGTCGTTCACCGTACGCCCTACATCGGCGTGAGATCAGAGATGTTGGCTTGCGTTTGCTTTTGTTTGTAGTGATGGAAGACCTGCGTTGCATCTATCACACTCTTTTCTTCTCTCCAACTTCACCCGGCGTCAATACAGATTCAAGAAGGCCGAGGGTGGTGGAGGGCGCCGGCGGATTGCACAGTCGAGCCCGCACCATGGCGTTGCACCCCACAACCCCTTGTCCACATTACAAATAACCAGTTTTTTTTTATCAGCAACAGCAGAGAGAGCGGGGGCTGGCATGGCCGAGGCGGCACCTTGGCGTGCCGCCACAGCCGCCTCGGATCCCACGCAGTTACATTGCCATAGTGGCCACATTAAGAAGGAGCCGTTGCATCCTGACTCACAGACCACCAGCCAGCCAAGCCGCCAAGCAGTGTCTAGCCTCGGGGAGCCACATGTAAGATTTGGAAGTCAGCAAGTGGTCGTTAGGCGTAGTTTTCACCTGAAATCAAGTTAGCGACCCGGTACGAAAGCCGCGTGGACCAGTAACTGGCCACCTCTACACTCTGAGATTTTGTTTAATTGTCCGTTCATCTACCTTATGGGACCTAATTTGTGTGAGGTGATGAGATGAGCGATGCAATTCAAGTGAAAGGAACTCCCGCGCGCCTAATTACGGTTTACCGATGTCAGTTTTCGCATAATCATGTTGCAGTGTGAGTAGTAGGATTTCAATTATCTGCAGTTTGACAGTATGTGAATCATAAACAATTAGAAAACGTTACTGAAACATAAGCAGTAATATTAAAACGGTAATTAATTGTTATCACGAAGCGTGCGGACGATATTGGTCATGTGGCATTATGAAGTGTAATTGTATACCGAACCAGTTTTATCTTAAATTACCTGACGACTGAGGACATAACAATATCTGCAGGCAGGAGGAATGGGCCTCTGTTTCGCATGCTCCTCCTTATGTCACCATAGAAGAACTTCTGTTTCCCTATATGCCGGTTCGACAGGTCTTTCTCGAAAACATATAGAGTTCTGAGGATTATCTGATTAACTGGTTTTTTTTGTATGCATTTATCGACGCAGACTTCCTATCCAAGGGAAATTGCCTCCAAACGCTGTCCTTTTTACTCACTTCTTTTTAAGGCCTCTTATAGCTACTAGGGTCTCAGTTTCAGTCTCTTCCGTGAAATCGGACAGTGATTTCTGAGAAAAATATGCAATAACCCACTGATCCAATCCGAATCCTCGATAATGTTGACAAAAAGGCTGATTCCCGGATTATGTTGCCTATTCCAGTGTACATTTGATCAAAGTCATCGCTCCAAATATTTCTTCTAAGTCTGATATAGCACGGAATACTTCCAGAACAGAACCGCATCACTACCGCACCAGGTAGTGACGCGGTTCTAACCTTTGTCAACAGCGTCAGCTGCGCGGTCATCCGGA